TAACCTTAAAAATCTCTGGAGTCCTATCTATATCCCTGATCAAAAGTGATTGAGAAGATAACTTTATCTCTTTTCCCTCAGCAGATAATGATGTTTTTTCCCCATTTTTTGGGTTTGATTAAGGGATATCTGAGGGTTGTCACTACAGTAGCCACCCCCTTATCCTAGGTTTGGCTTTCTGTGGTTTCAGTTAACGTCCGTCAGCCATGATCTGAAATGTTAAATGGAAAATTTCAGAAATGAACAACTTATTCATTTTAAATAGCACACCGTTGTGAGTAGCAGGATGGAATCTCCTGCCATCCTGTTCCGTCCACCTAGAATGTGAAGCCACCCTCTGTCCAGCGTACTCTGCCCATCGGTCACTTAGAAGCCATCTGGGTGACCAGGTTGACTGTCCTGGTATCCCAGTGCTTATGTTCAAGTATCCCTTATTTTACTTAATAATGACCCCAAAGCATAAGAGGAGCGATGCTGGCAAGCAACTTGGTTATTCCAAAGAGAAGCCAAGCCGTAAAGTGCTTCCTTTAAGTGGAAAGGTGAAAGTTCTTGACTTAATAATATGCTGAGGTTGCTAAGATTTACAGTAAGAGTGGATCATCTAGCAGTGAAATTGCAAAGGAGAAAGAAATTCGTGCTAGTTTTGCTGTCACGCTTCAAATTGCTGAAGTTACGCCACAGTGCCTAATGAAGATGCAAAAGGCGTAAAATCTGTATGATAAGATACTGTGTGTGTGCGAGAGAGGGCGGATTTCTATCTTTTACAACAGTATATGGCTATAATTGTTTTACCATTAGTTGTTAATCCCTTACTGTGCCTAGTTTATAAATTAAACTTCATCATAGGTATATATGGTATGTATAGGAAAAAGCATAGTAACACAGGGTTCAGTACTATCCAGGACTTAAGGCATCCATTGGGGTCTTGGAGTTTATCCCCCAAGGACAAGGGGGGGATAAACACCGCATTAGTTAAACTGCAGCCTTTTTTGACCTTCTATATACCATTAAAAGCAGTGGTTAATTTGGGGTCGGGATGGTTCTAGATCTCTTACTTTGTATGCACATGGAGTAGGGGATGTCTGAGTGGAACATTGCAGACATCTTTGAACTTGTTACAAATAACCTGAACGTTTCAAGATAGCTACATGTACGTAAAAAGGTTCGTTTTCACCTCATCTGCCAATGAGAATTAAAAGAAAAAGGATTTGCATTGGCTTGGTAGTTTTTGGTTTTTTCTATTTTGTTTCCCCCGACCTCTTTTTTATGGAAGATCCCAGATAGTGGAAAATTCCAGATAATCTAGATTTGAATCCAGACTCCATAGTTATGAGCTTGTGACTTGGTCAGGATAAATTCTCTGATTCTCATCAGCAAAATGGGGATAATGCTACCCCAGATCAGGAAGAACTGATTACAGATTAGATGTTATGTACAAGAAGCAGGCTGATGTACATAGGTACTCAGTGGTAGATGCTTAGCAGTAGTAGGGTTTTCCGTGAACTGCTCGAATGCAGTGTTCTTCATATTTTTTGATCCTCACACTATCATTTAAAAATTTTTGAACACATATTTACAAAGAAGTATAAAACTAAGATATAGGTTCTAGTGAACCAATATTTTATGTTCAATGGAAAACAAGGTTTTGGAAAATGATATAGTTGAAATAATGAATGTTTTCTCTAAAATATTAATAGAAATTAATTTTTCTCTAACTGCTTTTGTAGCCATGGTGTGACCAAATACATACGATTTTATACAATCTTGGATTACTAATTTGAAGATTTGCCTTTCTGTTTTGTTCATCTTGATACTTGACTTTATTGGCTATCAGAGTTGAAAAATGCTACCTAAAGGTACATACAACTAACTAGTTAAAAGTGTATTGCTTAGTGCACCTAATGAATCGTGATGTTAATTTTTCAGTTTCGTTGACCAATAATGCAAAGGTTTCAATAAAATGTAGTAAATTTCTATCATCTCTGAATCAGTTTTGTTTGCAAAATATCTGAATAATGACCCATTTCAGTATTATAAAATAAGTCTAAAACCCACTGGAACTCTACATTGATAAGATTAACAAAGACTTAAAAATTTGTGTTTCTAAGTTGTGAAAGTGTATAAGATGTGTAAATTCTTATAAGGTCACACACATACCAGTTTTGGCAATAAGATTACCTAGTAATTGGAATACTTCCAAACACTTGTCTTCAGAATGCTCTTATATTAGCACAAGATTTGTTATAAAGTAGTTACTTTTTCACTCATCATCAGTGAACCGACAATACCAAGTATGGGGCAAGGATGCTTGGCATCCTGACACGTGACTGCCTGCCATGCGGTGCAGAGTCAATCAGAAAGTTAATTATTAATAAAGTTAAGTTCTTTTTCACTGTTAGAGTGAATAAATGTCCGTTTAAGTGGTTTTTCCCCACCCCAGAGATATTCTCATGCCACTTCCCTAACTCTGCACTTGACTGAGAGGGTAGGTTGCACTATAGGCCACCATAGTCGTCAGTGGGATATTTGCTCAATAAATTACCAAGCAAAAAGATGGATACTGATGATCTGGAGCAAGAGCTGGCAAGCTGTGTCTGTAAAGGACCAGATAATAAATATTTTAGGCTTTGAGGACCTTGTGATCTCTATCACAACTACTCAGTTCTACCAGCGTAGCATGGAAGTACCTGAGACAATATGTAAAAAAAATTAAGAAGTGACTGTATTTGGAAGTAAGCCAAAAAAGAAATAAAAATACTATATGACATCACTTATATGTGGAATCTTTAAAAAAATGACACAAGTGGACTTATTTGCAATACAGAAATGGCCTCATAGACATAGAAGACAAACTTATGATTACCAGAAGGGAGGGGACAAGGGGGGGATAAGTTGGGAGTTTGAGATTTGCAGTTACACACTGCTATATAAAAAATAGGTAAATGACAAGGTCCTACTGTACAGCTCAGGGAACCACATTCAATACCTTGAAGTGGCCTATAATGAAGAAGAATATATATGTGTACAAATTCATCACTGTGCAGCACACCAGAAATTACCACAACGTTGTAAACCGATTACACTTCAATTAAAAAATATACATGTATAAATAAAAAATATTGGAATAACCAAAAAAAGACTATTTCAGTAAAACTTTGTGGCCACTGATGTTGCCTTTCATGTAATTTTCACATGACAAAATGTTACTCTGCTTCTGATTTTTTTTAATCATTTAAAATGTAAAAAAAAAAAAGGTAGCTTATGGTTTATAAGAGAACATAAGGGGCAAGACGAATGGTTCTCAGGACTTGGCTAGCAGACCCCTGATTTAGAGTCATGTTAAGTCCAAGTGATAATGAACTTGCAGAGAGGCTGAGCCTGAAGCTTCAGAGAAGTGCACATCATTCTAGTAGGTTACCAAGCCACGATATGTTGCTAAGGGTGACTTCATTTACTGTCCCTTTAAGAAACACTAAATATTTGTTCCCTCTCTAACATGAGTTTAATTGCTACACATTCTAGTATAAGAAGTTGGGTTTGCAAAAAATTTGAGGCCAAGTCAGCAGTAGCTACATCAGTAAGAATCACAGTGTTTTTCTGCATGATCTCATTTGTTAAAAAAATTTTTTTAACTTTATTTTGGAAACTTGAGAGCATTAAAATAACTAAGGCAGTATAAAATACATTTGTTTGAGGTCTTCTGGCTAAATTCTGTGACTCCTTCCTGGGTTTCTGTGGGTCCTGACACATCAAGGAGTTATGTTCACTGACGTTCTAGAAGGTCAGAGGAGTAGATAACTGCTCCTAACAGCCTTTTTAGACAGACTTCCAAGTTCGTTCTTCTCAACTCCCTGCAAGAGATGCAAATGGCAAATCTTTAACCTGGTTATTGAACATGCTTTCTCTCTCAATCTTCTATCATCCAAAATCAGTTTTTTTTCCTGTGATCATTTGTATGTACAATTTCAAAACTCATTTACATTCAGGCTGATCAGTGCAAAAAATCATTCAAAAAGGTATATTTTGGGAGTGACTTTACATGATTTGTGCCTCCCACACATCTAGCCCCAAATGAGGGGATCCCTCAGCCACAGCAGCACAAAAAGAGGGTGACGGAGGCAGTGATTTCCTGCTAAGGGGAAATCTGTGCTGCCCCGTAGGCCACCGTGGCTCCATCCCCAGCAACACCTCCTGCGCTTCTGTGCTTCATCCTGGAATCAGTACTTTCCAACCAGCCTCGTTCTCCCCCTCTATTTAAGGTGGGAACAGGGTTGATAGGAGACCTGAAACCAGGTAAGTATAGAGTAAACAGAAGAACAAATCTAGGAGAAAAACCAAATCCTGCTTGAATCTTAACTCCTCTCCTTATAGGTGGAAATAGACACTTTGCAACACCTGCTTTGTTCTGGAAACTTCACATAAGCTCTTTCAGTTGTTAAAATAAACAAGAAGAGATGAAGGAACAAAAAGTGTCTCTTATTTAGCTGATGCACAGCAGGAAAGAAAGCCTCAGAAGCAACTGCTTCCAAGCCATTAAGGAGACAAGGGTTTTGTTTTTTGTTTTCTTTTTTTTTTAAATAGGGCTTTGTTTCTTATTTTAGGTAAAAGATCAGGTTGACTTTGTTGAACTTTTGATTCCGTGACAGCAGCAGACTCTGCAGGCAAGCTCAGCGTTTGATAAATGTGCTTCCAACAACACCGTAGTCTACTCTCAACCTAAAATAGTGTGCTGCGTATTGTTGTGACTGTCTGGAAGTCAGGGTGTCACTTCTGTTGTTCAGAAGGCAAAGAGGTCACAGTTGCTTCTGAGCCACGCCCTGTGAGACCACCCAGTGGAAGAGAGGGAACAGCTCTTGAACTCTGGTTCTGCCTAGTAGATAGATTTCTGAACGTTTATTGGAATGTGGTCAATTGTTAGACAACTTAAATAAACAATGATCAGAAAAGACGTGTTTCTAACTCAGCCTCCTCATGCTTTTCTGTCTTTCCCTGTGATGCAGGAGGAAGGACGCTGGCTTCTTATCCTACAAAGATCACCTGCCAGTAAGCCAGGTGGTGGTTGGAGATACTGACCGGCAAGGCTCAGAAGCCAAACTGAGTGTGGGTCCCCTGCGCTGCCAAGGAGACAGTAAGTGTGCCCACAACTGTGGCTTACACCTTCTTTTCAATTTTAAATAGTGTTTCCCAGCAAATCAGAAGATGACCAAAAGCAGACTTGCTCTTTGGTGTAAACAGAGCCAAATGGAGAGCTAGGTAGACCTTTTTAAGGAGGGTGACAGCCATCAGGTCTCCAGCATTGGGCATGAAATGTGGATATCCATCGTCCTTGTATGTTCGTATGTAATGAGTGTGACTCCCTAAGTTTATGGTGATATAAGTAGCAATGCTAATAGCGCAAAAGCAGTGCTCAACAGCTGTGATTCCACGGAGGGCGGCTGTTAATGCCATTAGCATGACTGTTTCTATCACCGCAAACTGAGTTTATGGTGATATAAACGGTAGCATTATGGCTTAATGTATCATTGTAAACTTGGATTATGGTCATATAAAGTTTGTCATTATTGCTATCAAATGTCACCATCATCAGAGCTTGATGGTCCCTCGTAAGCCAAAGGTTGTTGCTGTAACTACATCTTGCTTTCGGGGTTTGGCACCACAGAGAGGAATGTGGGGCTGTGGGAAGTCAGAGAGTTAGAAGATGACCCCACCGAGTTCAGGGTACCCCTGGGACTGTATGTTGTCTGATACCCTTCAGGGTGCTTTATGTGCAGTGGGAGGGAAGTGGTGGCAGGCTGCTACGGGGATTCTGCAGTGAGCGCCCTGGGAGTCATTCCCCTCTTCTTGTCTGCACGCGATTCAGGCAGCTCTTCTGGGAGTTCCGTGCTTTTGTGATTGGGTGCTAGGCGTCGGGAGACCTAGATGCCGTTCTCTGAACAACCCGCTTGCCAGGAGACCTCAGGCAAAGCCGTCCGTTTTCTCAGCTGTAGTGATGAGAATTCCACCTGCGTCCCAGCTCCTCCTGGGGAGACCATCAGGCTGTTAGTGCCCGGATCTGGATTCCTCTTAGCTAAGCATTCTGTGAGGTGGAATTTTATTCCCACTTCCATAAATCAAGGGAGAATTAGACCTACTCAATGCATAAATGATTGCACCCACTCCAAGGGGTGCCCTAAGGAATTTTATGATGCACGTTTAACGGCTTAACTGCTTAACTGGTTAGCACATCCAGGCTGGCGGCAGCTAAACAATGCAGCGCTCCTGATGCAAAAGTGAGGTGGAGTTTGTACTGATTTTTCTCTTCGTACATAGAGAAGGTGAAAGTGCTTTCTTTAAAAGGAGACTGGTCAAAAGAGCTTCGTCATGTATTTACTAACAAAAATGCTTCATTGGTCCAGTCAAGCTTAACAGAACTGTGCAAAATACAAAACTTAGTTCCAAATGCTTAAGAAAAAGATTGACGTAAAGTAATAATATGTGTTTTTAGATATGTATTTTGAGAAATGGACTATATCGTCACTCTCAAAATAGGCAGGTTCTCACGTGTTGGCTAATGAAAATCAGTTTCATTGTGTCATAATAATTCATTAATATATAAAGGTAAAATATTTCTCATTTATCAATCCTAATTCTGATTTGAATTAGAGAAAGGGTTCCCATTAAGTAATAGATTAGCTCAATATCATTGTAAAAGCCGACTGCTGCAGACTTCTGTTACCACCCTTAAAGGAAAGATTCCAGCTACATGAAACAGTGTATGTGGGAGGGCATTAACGATTGATAGCTATACTGTTAGCTTATTTTCTCTTAATCAGTAAATCAGTGCTCGGGAAGAATTTGTTTCGTGTCTGTGGTCTAGTGCTTTACTGGGTACTCTGGTGAATTAAAAAAAAAGGTTCAAAGCATGTTTTGAGAAATGCACATAAAAAAATAGGAAAACACAAAATGTATAATTCAATGGATTTTGTGATGTACAGTTACTGCCACTGATGCTCAAGAAAGGAGTGATAGTATATTTCAGGCAGACTTCATATTTAAAAAGAGGAGCTAGGAAAAGTAAGGTGCTCAGTGTTCAGTTGCATTGCTTTCCTGAGGCTTTTGTCCTTAGAGACTTTTTTAGGACCAGTTGATAGACAAAGAGCTATCTTGTCCATTGACACTGCATGGTCTCTATTCTCACGGTGTTGCAAGTTCATCAACTCTTAATCCATATTACATGATACGTATTTCATGATATTTTGTGAAAACAAAAGCACAATGAACCTTTAATCGAATTATAAAGAACGCTAGAGAATACTAGAGTACTTTGGTGTCGAAAGAGAGGAGAGAGACAGAGAGAGAAATCTTTGGGGGTTTTCTTTGTTTGTTTTGGGGGGTTTCGTTCTGTTTTGTTTTTGCGTGTTTGGTTTTGTTTTGTTTTACAGACAACTCATACCTGAATTGCCAGGTAGCAGTTAGCAGTTTTGATGCCCACCTTCCCTTTAAGAATGTTTGAACATGGACACAGTAATGATACAGTGTTCACATCATAGCATTTTTCAGATTGTACACATGTATGGTTTCCTTGGATACAGCCCCCGGGAGGTGGGTAGGGTAAATATTAGCCTTTCTGTTTTACAAATGAACAAAATATTTCTTTTAAAATGTCACTTACGCAACAAATTTTTGTGCCCCCTTGCAGCCTCTGGGAGGCTCCCAGAAGCAAGGCAGGGCAGAGGATATAAACAGCGGTCTCTGCACAAGGTCAGGCTTGTTTCCCGGCTCCATTCTCATGCCCAAGTCAACAGCGGAAATTAAATTGTTTTAAAAATATGCCATCTGGGTCTTATTCCACCGCTCTCCCCACCCACTCGCATCCACTTACCAATAGAGCATGAATGTTGGGGGGATTGAATTCCAATTTTTTTAATTAAAAAAGTGGCACCGTGTGTGTATCCTGTTGCTTATAGAGATTAACCTTGTGTCATTTACTGAAGTCTGTGCAAAGCTGCAGTTTAAAAAAGAAATCCACTGTTGAGAAATGTCTTTCTCTATTTGAGTAGTTGAGTGATGGCAGCCATCAGAAGCTGTCTCTTGAATTAGGTCTGGTTCTACCCCCTAGTCTTAGAGAATGAAACAATTTTTGTGGGCTCTGACCAACCGTTTCCGTGGTTTCAGTTGATTTCATCATGCCTGCTGAGTTTCATTTTTACTTTGATTCATCTGAAGTCATAGACCCATATAATCAAAATGCTAAGAAAATCAGTGAGTTCCAGGTCTGCTGCATTTTCCATAGAGTGCTGTAAAATGCTTATGCCCTGATGGTTTTGGAGCTTTTTTTCCAAATACGTTCAAATGGAAACCTCAAATCTAAATGAAACTGAAAAAGTGACTGGTGATGGATGGTTAGCTAAGATAAAAAGTGCAGTAAAGTTACAAATTCCCCTTTTAACCACGTGTATTCACCTAGGAAGAAACAAAAGAGCTATTTAGAGGATCAGAACCCCTGATAGAGTGGAAATTGTTTTAGATTTGTTTAAAGTTTTATGGAACTAGTTCAAAAATAAAGCAGTTCGGATTTCGGAGGTGGAAATCTTTTTTTGTACTATGTATAGTGAATATAATTAATTGTAGAAATAAAGTATTTGCTGGATAATTGTTTTTTTCTCAACAATATGGGGGAAAGATTTTCCATATCTCCTCTAGGGACACAGGGACTGTTAACAATTAATTAGGAGCAAGTTTGCTACAGAAGCAAGTGTTTTCAGTACACGTGGGTAGAAAGAATTCAGGAAAATGTGTTATTCAAGGACCTTTGAGTCCATGCCAGGAACCTGCTCTGGCTGTCAGCACAGGCAGGGCACTTGAGTCATGCAGGATGTTTAAGATGTAAATTCGATTTCCTAGAGCTGCAGAGGTGACTCCGAGAGGCCCAGAAGAAAAGGTAAGACAGACAGCACAGCCGTTTCAGGAATACTCAGAGGGCAGAGACAAAGCCAAGGGTGAAAGAAATAAAGATGATGATGGAGTCTTACCCAAATGGTAGTGGGCATTTCTTCTTTGGAAGCATAATCGTATGTGCCTGAGACAGATAAGAGCCACTCTTGTCTTTACTGTAAGACTTTTACAAGCCAGGGCCATAACCAGCCAGTCCCTTACCAGGAGACAAGGCAACGATTCCATCCACATGTTGTTTCTCCAAGGATAGACTGAGCATCATTCCCCGTAGGACGTACCCAGGAGCACGCACAGGCCACACCGTCTCCCTTCCAGCATCTGTGGGAGACACGCTCGGTGCAGCCAAAGAGGACTGGACCAGGAGAGAGGCTGTGGCTCATCTGGGCTCAGGAATAGACTTTAATTATGGGGAGGAAGCTACTCCCTGGGCTCTAGGGAAAACAGTATATTTCTCCCCCTTTTCTTTGCTCCTTCAGGCTTGGAAGAGACAGGGAAGGGAAAGGGCCTTGCATGCAGGTTGTAAACCAAGCCCTTTATATTCCTTTTCTCTGGTGATTCTCCCAACATCCTGTATGAGGGGGTAACTTTGTATTTTGTACCCAGGAGAAAACAGAATCAGACTCATTAGGGGGTTGCCAATAAGTTTCAGAGCTAGGACCAGAAGATCTGTGTGGTTCCAGAGCAAATTTCAGAATGGGTAAAATCAGATCATTCTCAGTAATCATTTCCTCAGGAGATGCTCCACATTCTTTCCCTTTGTCTGCTTCTTCCTGTGAAATGTAGCTGGATGCGCTTGCCTCAAGTGCAGCTAAAAGCAAGAGCAAAGAATCACAACATTCTAAGGGTGAAAGAGTCTTAGAGATGAAACAGGGCCGACCTCTCATTTTACAGCCCAGGGAACCTGGGTCTAGGGAGAGTAGGTGACTGACCCAGGGTCTCCCAGCTGGTTTATGGCAGAGCACGTGGAGAGAGTTTGACACGAGCCTTCATCTTTAGCAGTTCCCTGTGGCCAAGGTGACTGCTGAGATCCAAAGAGGGAGCTTTGACCTCGAACTCTGACCCTGCGTGCTGCCCATGAGCAGCTGAGCAGTGCAGTAACGTGGTGCTGAGGGCTTAATCTTACCCCGCTGTGAGGTCAACCATCTGGAAACCCCGATAGAAAACACAACCATAGGGATGAAGGGTCAATGACAG